TAAATATAAATGAAGCAATTCGTCTTATTTGTCGTATACGTTCACCAGATACATTTAATGAACAAAATTTAAATGTACAATGGACACGTAATGATTATCCAATAATAAATGCAGCTGAATATCTTTCGAATTATTCATCTATTGATGATACTCTTTATGAAATATTAACTATACGAAAAGCACGACGAACTGATACTGGGATATATACTTGTCGATATGGTCAACTTTTAATTGCAACTACTCATGTTATTGTTAATCAATGTATGTGTTTTTGTTTGTTTTTATGAATATATATATCTGTCATCTTTTTTTTTTCTTCAGATCCTGGTGGTAGTAAATCTCGTCGTTTAATATCACAAATAACTGGTAACAGTTCTTCATTGAAACCATGTTTACGAACAGTAGTTAGTTTTTTTATATTGTATATCAAATTGTTTCTGTCTTTTTACCGTAAATAAATATGTATATGTATAGATACATAATTTTATTACGTTAAAATAATTTATCATAAAGTAATAGAAAAAAAAAATTATGTTTTCGTAACTCAACATTTTTTTTCTTATCAAAAGAAATTCGATTAAATATGTTTTATTCAACAATAGTTGTTTGTCCATCAGGTGTTGTCACAGATATTGATGGTACTAAAGGAAACACAAGATTTTTATATTTAACAAAAAAAAAAAAACAAAGATTTAAAATACATACAATTTTTAGGTTTTGGATTTTCTTCTTTAATATTATTTGAAGGTAAAAGAAGTTTAAAAACCTGATTTAAAATCATACTAATTTGAAATCGTTTTTTTGGTGGTGATGTTGACAACATTGTTGATTCTGACTGTGACATTTTTTTAGAATTCTAGCAAATATGCACGTGGTAAATATTATATATTGTTTTTATTAAGTTGCATATACTTCTTTTTTTGCTAATGGTCGCACGTGACTATAACAAACTGCTTCTTATAACACTAATTTTATGTAGTATACACTTGTTTGTCGCGTAGTATGCCAACAATAAAAGAAAAAATTAGGAGAAAAAAATAAGCAATAAGAAAACTGTTTTGCATTCACCTTTTTTTTTTCTTATCCCATCGTCACATCTATATTCTCTTCGCATGAAGCGACGAAATGTAACTATCGTTAATAGTAAGAGTACAAGGGTTTGACTCGTTTATTTCCTAATAAAAATAAGCATATGATTAATGATTATTTAGTGAAAGAAAAATACGTAGATGATGTTCATAGAATGAAAAAAAAACTCGAGATTTTTACACATAATGAATATTATACTCTTACAATAGATTTATTTATTAAATTAATTTATTGTCAAATAAAATATATATCAATAGATAAAGTCAATGTGTACGTTGGAAGAAAATGTTTTGCATAAGAGTTTCTATCGATTTATAATAATAAATCTAGATGAGTCTACGCATTATGAAATAAATCATTAAATAGAGATATGAATTTTTTATTAATATATAACTAGAACATCAATGAGATATTTATATTATTTTTTGATAGAATATAATAGGGCAATGGATATGTTATATCTCAAGATTAAGTTCTTTTTTAAAATCAGAAATTAATGTCTTCAACTCAGCTTTTCATTTGTAGTTCTCTTTATTACGAATATATACATATCATTCTAACTGATCATCATCATTTGTACTGGAATGTATTCTTATTTTCAAACATAACAATTCGATTCTTCATCTTTTGTTAGAATATGCAAAAAATCTAGTAGAAAAATAAATTAAAGACTTCGATCAAAAATATTTTCTAACGGCCAAAAGATCTTAGTATTATCTGTTTTCGATGTTTTTCAGCCTCATTTACACACAGTAGTAATTCATTATCATGATGACTTTCGTGTGATATTAAAATAATTGATCTCGCATAAGGTATCGAAAATACAAAATTAAAGAAGAATGTTTCTTTTCTTGTTGTATATGTGGTTAGATAGAGCGTGACGAATAAATCAAGAATAAATAAGTTTTCATTTTTTGGAATTTAATTTTTAGAGGAAACATCTCAGTTTTTCCACTGACCTACCTTTTCTAAAACAAAGGTCAATTATCTATAATGACCGATCGTTAATGGTTTTTTCCTTGAAACTTTAAAAGTGTCTATTTCAGATTCAGTGTGAAAAACTGAATGTGAGAAGATCATTCATGTAAATGATCTTCTCACATTCAGTTTTTCACACTGAATCTGAAACAAACACTTTTCAAATTTCAAGGAAAGAAAAACTTAACGAGCAGTCATTTATTCACAATTGACCTTTGTTTTAGAAAAAGTAGGTCAGTGGGAAAACGGAAATTTTCCTTCTAAAAACTCAATTCCAAAAAAAATGAAGACACATATATTTTTGATTAGCTCGTCGTGCTTTATCTACCCGCATATAGAAGAAGAAAAAAAAAATTCTTCTTTAATTTTGCATTTCCGGCAGCTTACTCATATGAACAGTTATTTCCGTCTAATTTATTTTATTCTAGATGATATGACAGGATGAAATGATCAAGTACCAATGCTTTGCTGTAATCATGACAAAATAAGAAATTATTTTTCTCTCCATTTTTTACTGAAACATCGTCATTAGAGAAATTATATCTAATAATGACATGCTGAGGTAACTGTTGTGGTCTACTGCTTATTCTAGTTTTTCTTTTGAAATCTAGTCTTACCGAAACTCCTTCGTAAATCTCATATGTGATCAAACAAGAGGTATCAGTTCAAGCAGTTCTCTCGTAAATTTGTACTAAGTGAATCAATGTTGCTGTTGAATAATGATTATGATAGTAGACACACTTATTCAATACAACATTGACGTAAAATATCAACTGTTTTAGAAAAAAAGTTTAACAAGCTTTTTTTTCTGATATAATTAGATCATCTGTCAATCATTGATTTACAATAAATATCAATAACAGAATGAAATTTACATTATTAGTTTTTCCATAATTCGTTGATTTATTTGATCTATTATCTTTATTTTTTAAATCAACCATTTGAGAAAAAAAAGCAACTGCTAATCCTTTCTTATACTCATTTAACAAAAAAAAAAAAAAAGGACAGAACAATATATATTTTTTTATTTTGAGGTAGACGTATTCGAACGGTTTGGTTGATTTGAATCATCTAAAATTGCTTTTCTTCCAGCTGCTTTTGGTCTTGCTCGTGTAATCTTAACACTTTCTTTACTATCAATACGATATTGTGCTAAATCTTCTTTATGTTTTTCAATATCTTCATAAATTTCAGCTTTATCATCATCATGAATTTCAGCTCGATATTGTCTCATGACATCCCATTGACGCCATGGTTCACCATAACGTTGAGCTGCTTTTCGTACACTTCGTGGTAATGATGGTAACATCACACCTTTTAAATCATGACGTTCCCATTTATATTGCCAATGAGTACTGGTGATCGGTACCTATTATCAAACGATTAAGTTGTTGTTTTTTTTTGTTTTCTTTTTTTAATATTTAAAAAAAAGAAGAATTCCTACTTGAATTGTATTCAAAGGTACTCCAGCACCGGGTGGTAATTTAACTGGTTCCATGTCAAATGGAAATGTACAATATTCAGGTGGTGCATCACGTAAATAAGCAAGATTATCATCTAAACGTCGTTCAAGTTTAAGAACTTCAATTTTAGTTATTGTTGGATTATATAATTCATAACTAATTTCAACACCTAAAACAAAATAAACTTGAAAGTAACTCTAATTTTTCTTATTTTCTTCTTGATCGTAATAGTTACGAAGAATCTGAAAAAACAAACATTTGAATAGTTGAACCTAAAAACTTCAATAAAGTTACTTGGAGAACGATGTGTGAAAAACCACATTTCTAACATCCAATTTTAAGCTTTTCGGAAATAGTTTTATATGATACAGCAAAATGAAATATCTCGCCTCTTGTCATGACTTTACTTCATCGAACTACATTGAATTAATGGCAAGCCTCAATACCACGAAATCATTGAAAATTTTCATAAAAGACAAAAGAAGTATGTTTCTAGGATATTATGTAACTTTTTTTCAAAAAGTTTAAAAAAAAACGATGCTAGAAAACTGGTTTTGTGGATCTTTATTTTCCAAACATTTTCATTCGAGCAGTTTTTATTAGAGTTTTGAAGTCTATCAGTCTTGATAGAGAATCTTTTCAGCTATTCAAATACTTATAAACTTTTGTTCGTCACTAAGTTTTTACCAAGTCCGTCAACAATATTTCGTAGAGTAAATTGATGTTTAAGTCCATGTCTTTCACGTTGAATACATATACCAACAAATCTATGACGTCGATTAGGTGCATATGGATCAGCTGATGTTACAGCAAGAACACTTCCTTTAATAAGAAAAAATGATTTTTTTTTATTATTATTCATGTATTAGAACAAAATTCAATTGTCTGTCTTTCTCTTTAATGAATACTAACCAACATAAAATTCTGGTATATCAATTTGTTGTCGTCGACGAAACATATCTTTTCGTTCGAGTTTTTCAAGTATTCGATCACGTAAATAAGGAATTGGATTTGGTAAAAAATCAGGAAAAACATATCTATTAAATGAAAATAAAATGAAATATGCGTCCTTCTCTCTTTTTCTCTTAAATAAATTTAATATACTTAAAATCATGTGGTGTAGTACGAAGATCTTCATTTGTATCATTTTTCGGTGGAAAAACACCAATAGCTGCACCATTTTTCATTTTACCTAATGGTGATTGTCTATGACGTTCAACAAGATGATCATTTATATGTCCACGTTGTTTATATCGAACAGATAATATTAAAACTAGAAAATAATAAGAATATTATTTTTGTGTTCATTAAAAGTAATTTATATTAACCTGATCTTAATATTTGTTGATTATTTAATAGAAATTTATTAGTAGTAGAAAATGATAATGCCATTTTATTGTGGTTGTTGTGTTTTTTAAAAATACATCTGAAAACAATAAGAAATAAAGCAAAAAAAAACCATAATCAATCCTAGAATTTTTGTGAATAAGAAAAACATCGAGCACATAGTTCATTTTCATTGTCTGATATTTGTAAACGACAACGAGGGCAAGAATGTAAGGAATTATATTGAATTTTCATTATATAATTAAATTTATCATCTAAAATGAATTAAAATATCAGGATTATTTTTTTTTTCGATTAATAATTAAACAAACCTAATAATGGTAAGTCAACACTTGAAATATTTTCTTCTATTAGATCATTCTGTAAATCAGATAATGATCGTTGATGTATACGTGAACATTGTAAAAGTTCTTCTAATGGATGCCAAAAATCTAATTTGATTGTCTAGATAATTAAAAACAATTAAAATCAAATGATAAATATTCAGATATTATATTAGTAAAGGATCTATTGAGATTAAAGAAAATCTTTTTTCGTCAGACATTTTGCCAATTATTTCGAATTTATTCATAATTCTTCATACTAATACTAACGATTTCAAAATATAATGTGTTCTATCGTTTTTTAAATAACGTTTTTGATATGAATATCATAGAAAACTGCGTTTTCAATATTCAACAGAGAAGACTTGGGGGCATCAAAGTGTTCGAAATTTGATTGATGAGTAATGAACCAATCAGGTGAGTTCTTGATGGACACTCTTAGAAACGATATACTGAAGCTATTTCTCTTTTGATTTAGACTTTTAATATGACTAAACACTAGAAAAAACTTTTCTCTTTCAATCTATACAAGACCGACATTTCTAGTTTGTTTTGTTCGAGACCTCTAAGGTTTTTCATAAGGCTCTTGATTTTAGCCAATTGACCTGTAGTCACACTAAAAAACGCTTGAACTAGGAATAGTTCACTATGCTGAGTCGAACAATGATATTTATTTTTAGGTTCGAAATCACCTTACTCTGCTATCGCGATACTTTTGAAACTCCACAATCAACCTCTATGTAATGAAGGATTCAACGTCTCGGAAATATTGAGATAAAACTCAGTATGATAAATAGTTCTAGTCTAGCTGCTTTTTCGAGTGATCATCAGTCAGTTGATTGAAATCGGGATCTTAGGAAAAGTCTTATAACTCTCGAACAGAACACGCAATAAATACCGGTTGTGTATAGCTTAAAAGAGAAATAGCTTCGAAATATCGTTTTCAAAAATCTTCATCAAGAATTCAACTGTTCGATTCATTGCTAATCAATCAAATGTCGATATTCTTGTTTTCGTATTTCTATTTCGCTTGCTATAAGTCTTGTAGAGAACTACACAAAGGAACCTTTTTAATCTACGCTCAAACTCTTCACAATTATATATTGCGTAAAATATTCATTAGATATAACGAATGTCATTATTTCTTATGTATTCATTTACAACAAAGAAGAATCAATATCTTGAAAATTAAAACTTACTGATGGATGTTTTCCAAGAACATCTTCAACTTGTTTAAACTATTAAAATTAAGATGATTTAATATAAATTAAACTTTTTTTTTCTCAGTAATTGTAACCTGTAATTTTGCTTTATCGCTTAAATAAAGTACAATATCATATAGAATAGCTCGTCGATTTTGAAGAATACTATGATATGTATTACGTAAATGTAATATAATTGACATTGCTGATGCAAGTTCCGATGAAACTTCAGTTAGTTGTTTATCCAGAAAGGTAAATTTATTTTCGAATATATCATTGATTTTGTTTTCTTTATTTTCTAAAAGACGAAAATTAAAAGATAATAGAAAAGGAATAAAATTCTTTTTCGAAAAATATTCTTTTTTCAAACCTATTATACTTAATTCATTATATAATTCTTGTGTAAGATATGGCATTACTGGTGCTAATCGTTCATTAAGACATTTTAATAGTAAATAAAAAACTGTTTGTGTTGATCGACGAAGATAAGAATCCGATGGATTACAATAAAGTCTAATTGAATAAAATCATATTTTCTGTTAATAAAAACTTTTGTCTGCGTAACTTCTTTAGAACTAAAATATGGAACTCATAGAAGTTTTGCGCCTCATTATACTAATGCAAAATATCCCTTTTTTTTGTTGATTGCAAAAGAACTGTGGAAAAGTAGTCTGATGCTTGTTGTCCTCGATTGCTACGACAATATACTCAAAAGCTGATGGCTTATGAACCTGGTTGATGCGAAAGAAAGACGAAAAACGTCGACTTAGAACTTATACTCATTATTTTTCGAAGAAAAATAGATGTGAGTTCCATAAAATAAATTTTACTTGCCGATCTTTTGTTACTGAACAATAAAAACTTGATATATCACCTTGAATAAAATCTTCAATCGCAATTAAACCATGATACATTCTATATTGATCAAAATCATTATGATACTAAAATAGATCAATTTTGAATATTAAACATTAATTATTTCAACATACTGTCGTAAGAATTTGATATAAACGATAAGCCATATATCGATCAATAGCAGCTAAATTTTCATTTGATATTCTATGTTTATCAGGTTCAAAATCATATAAATTTCCTAGTACAAATCTCAATACATTTCTTATCTAAACAAAGTTTTTCTTTTTTCTCGAAAAAGCAAGATAATAAAGTTTAATTTATCCTACATCGAAAACTCGTTTATGTGCTTTATTTAAATCTTCTCCACTTGCTTTACATTGAGGTTTATAACTTTCTCTTGTAACCCATTCTCGACAAACATCAAGACCATTTTCATTAAATTTTTCTTTTCCACCACCAAATATCATATCCGATGGTTGAATAACATTTCCAATTGATTTTGACATTTTTTGATTATTTTTATCAACAACAAAACCATGAACAAATATATTTGAAAATGGTGCTCGTGCTTGTATTCCTGTTGATAATAACAATGATGATAAAAACCATCCATTAAATTGATCATGTCCTTCACAATATATATCAGCTTTATAGTTAAAATCTTTTTAAAAAAGAACAAAATAAGTTTTTCTCTTCTAAAGGACTTCACCGGATTTTGTGATCTATTTTGAACCAGAGTATCATATATGTAGTTTTTTAGAGCAAATTACAGCGTAGCTAATAATATACAGGAAATTAAATTTTGATGTCCTCAGAGTCTATATATGGTACGCATACATAGTATGACTTCTAAGATAAATTTATACAAATTTTGTTTCTAAACTTACTTTGATACGGTCGCAGGTACTCTTCAATTTTCTATAATCAATAGTGTCCATCGTTACTTTCTTCAAGCTTAAAACTAGTTCCTTTTTTCTTTTTAGATCGAGGGTATTTCTTGATTAGTTGATATTTCAATGTATTCAACTTGCAAGATTGCCCCCTAAAATAACCTGTTATCCTATATGAACATTTTGTGATACAGAGTTGAACACATTGAAATATCAACTAGTCAAGAAAAAGCCTCACCTAAGGAAAAGAATCAGTTTTAAACATGAGGAAAGTAAACATGAAAACTATTGATTATAAAAAATCGAAGAGTACTTGCAACTGTATCAAAGTGTGTTTAGATATAAAACTTGCATAAGTTTATCTTAGAACATGTTTGGAACCCTAATATATGTGAGCGCCATATATATCTCAGAGATATCCATCGCGGCTCAAAATCTGCCGCTCCCGCGACGCGATGACCTGTTAAAAAAAAGCTACCGTGCCGCTGCCGCGATGGTATTCGAAAAAATGTTTTGATTTTCAAGGCTCTGACTGGTTTGAACTAGAACTGATGCCGCTAATCGATCAGATTCGTTAAGTCTTACAGTGTAGCATACATGAACATGTAAATTCTGTGCAAATTCATGAATTTTTGAAATTTTTTCCTAAAAAAGCTGCCGCCGCCGCGACGGCAAAATAAAAATCTCTCCCGCGTCGCCACCACCACGGCGGCAGCGCCGCGATGGACATCTCTGATATACCTCTCAAGGACTGCGATCAGTAGATCAATTTTAGGCATATAAAATTTGATTTATTAGATACAATTCGATGCGCCGTAAATTGATTTACGAAACAACATATATAGTATTCTGGTTGTTAAAGATATGTAGGTCACCAAGTACGGAAAAGTCTTTTGTTTTAAATTCATGCTATACCTTTAAGAACTGTATTAAATGATGAACCACTATCAAACCAAACATCAAATATATCTTTTCCGCGTTCAAGATTTTCAGCTTGATTATGCATTGATACAGGTAATAATTCTTTAATATCATTTGATGACCACCAAAAATCAATTGAATCTTTTTCTTGAATACACTTGATTAAATGTTCAATGATATCTTCATTAATAACAAGTTCTTTTCTATCATCGTTTGTATAAAAAACTGGTATGGGTACACCCCAATAACGTTGTCGTGATATACACCAGTATGGACGTTGTGAAGTCATTGATAAAAAACTTTTCCCAGCACCTTCAGGAAATATTGTTACATCTTCTAATATATATTTACGTGCATTATCACGTAAACGTGTTGTATCAATAAACCATTGTTGACTACCTAAGATTAATACAGGTTTTTTTGCTCGCCAATCATATGGATATGAATGTATTAATTCATAATGATGTAAAATATCTGAATTTAAATATTTAAGAATTGCTTCAATACCATCATTTTTATCTAATGCATTACGACCATGAAGAGATTCAATTGATGGACAATTTAAATGACCAGTTAAATTGACGGCATTAACACATTGAAGATTATGTTTTATTGATAGAAGAAAATCATCAGAACCATGTGCTGGTGCAATATGAACAAGACCAGTACCTATCTCATCACTAACATGATCACTAATAATGATTGGACAATTTGCTTGATCATTATAAATTGGATGTTTATAGGTAAGACCAGATAATTGGGATCCTGAATACATAAAAAACTTATTTTCGAAGATCAAAATTCTTTTTTTCTTACCTAGACAATTTCCTATGATTTCAAACTGATTATTAGAAAAGGGTGAACATTTTTTAATGTTATTTAATAATGATTCAGCAACAATGTATATATCATTTGTAGAGGAAATTTTAAGAAATAGATATTTTAATTTTTCATTAACAGCTACCGCTTGATTACCAATTAGAGACCAAGGTGTTGTTGTCCAAATTAAAGCATAAATATTTCCTAGATTAGTTTCTTAAAACAAAACGAAACAAAAAAAAAACAAAGAAAATATTGAGAAATATTTGTTGAGAAATTTCTTACGAGGCAAAAGTTTTGATATCAAATCATTGTTTTGTAAACGAAATCTTACATAAATAGCAGTACTAAAAATTTAACAAGTTATGAAATTTGTGATCTTAATGAATTAAAAAAAGATAAATCAAATCTACATATAAGATTGATTAAAATGTAATTGAATTTATTGAATCTTTTGAGAATTTAATTATCTGGTAGAACTTCAGAAAGATCTAAGAGTATAGATAAACAAAAGCGAAGCCATGCTTACGAATAGAGCTCGTCAAGTTCCTAACCTAACCGAGTCTAAGTCGGAAAATTTTGAATCTGATGCGCTCTAATTACGAAAAAAGTCTTATAACTAATTAATTACTTTTTAGTCGAATCTATAAACATTCTGAAGAGTTCAGGTCCTCAGATTATTGTTACGGAGATATTGCATATTGACAGAATTTTTTAACTCAATGTTGTGATCCGTCGCCAGTATACAAAGAAAACTATTTTTTTGAACTTCGATGTGAAAATTTCTCTAGAGAAAAACTTTACAAAGAATAGTTGAATGCAAATTTTTCAGATCTTTTCGCTGTTCTTATCCTAAAATATGGTTATAGTAAAAGCTTGTCTCTGGAAGTTTTTAAGTCGAAATTAAAACAGAATTTTTTCTTGTGTTCCTGAAAAGAACCACGACATTACAATAGAAAGTGTAATAAAAATGTGGTATCTCAACAACAATGAGGTAAGGATCCAAACCTTTTTTCAGGATATTCATAGCAAATGAGGGAGTATCTGATGCATATAATCTCAACACAAAATTGATTAATCCGTTAATGAACTGCTCTCGTTAGTTCTTGTCGCATCTGTATGTAGTCACAAGAGACAATACGAACATATATAGATTTTTATTAATATGATGACTTTTTTAACGTGTTATTTCCTGTTTATGTATGTCTTCTTTTGTGTCTTTCTTCAACATATTTAAGTTTTTGTCTATGCTAAGACTTATAATTTAATTCATAATTTGAAACAATAAAAAAAAAAACTTATTCATAAATACCTCTTATGTTTATCATTATATTCTAATTCAGATTCAGCTAAAGCAGATTGAACAGTTGGTGACCAATTGACTGGTTTATATTGTCTATAGAGTAAATCCTTTCAAAGAAAAAATTATATTCAATAATAGAATAATAAATATTGTATAATTAATTACTTTCTTATATAATCTCCAAAATAATCTAAATTGATCAATGATATATTGTTTATCAAATGTTCTATAACAATTATTCCAATCAGCTAATATACCCCAAGATTGAAATTCAGTTTTTTGTTTTTCTAATGCTTCCGTAGCAAATTGACGAGCTGTTCAAATAGAAAAATAATGTCATTAAAAATTTTTGTAAAATACAAAAGAAATGTAAATAGATTTTACCAAGTTTGCGAACAACAATTGGATCTTTGTCATCTGAATTGCTTTTATTTTCTTGTAAGGCTTTTAGTTCAATTGGTAAGCCATGACAATCCCAACCAGGACGAAAATCTATTCGATTTCCATTTAATAGTTTATAACGAACAATAATATCCTTTTGAATCTATACAACAAGAAATCGTGTACATGAAAAAGAAACAAATCGATCGATTTCTAACTTTATTTAGAAAATGTCCGATATGAAGAGGCCCATTAGCAAATGGTGGTCCATCATGAAGAACAAACAATGGACGACATATCTGCTTTGATTGCCATTCCCATAATTGATTAACAGGATATTTCTAAAAATGTTATCATTTAGAACAAAAGAAAAACACTTGAATTATGAATGGTCCAGACAGAAAGATTTTAAAATCAGATAGCATTTTTTTAGTGAAATTTGTAGTATCGAATGTTATCTATAAGAAGATTCAAATAAAACCAATTAACAAACCTGCCTGATATCATTTTCACATTTAATTCGATTTTTCATTGTACTCGCAAATTTACTTTTCGGCATATTGAGTGTATCTTTGTATGATATACTTTTACTTGATACATATCGTAAATTTCTATTGAAAATTTTTTGATAACCAAATAAAATTCTCATCTAGTATACACGAAGAACAACATATATATATATAGATATATATTTATATAAGAATGAATGAGACAGTAAGTAAAATAAACGCACAGATAGTGAGAGACAAAAATTATGTTTAAACAGAAAATATCCATCTATAATGAAGAACATATAAATATCATTTTGTTTTTTTTTTCTTTTTCAAACAAATGACTAGTTGACAATGGTTTAGGCATGAATAATTATCCGAATAAATAAAATAAAATGAGTGTTTTTTTGTTCAATGATTTTTTGCTTTGTTTGCACGTTCAGCTTCATCAATAGAAGCCATATCAAGTGCAGCTGTATAAAGATGAATTAAACTGATGATTTGTTTTGAAACCATAATTGGCGTAACAATATAAAGAATTAAACGCCATAAACCCATTGCATAACCACCAAAAGTTATAACTATAATTTAAAATTAAATAAATAAATTATTTTTGGAAAAATATCTTGTTTGGTTTTTCATTTCTACCTGCTGGACCTTCACCAAAATGAAGCATATAAATCATTGAAAACCAAAGTTCATTTCCTGCACACATTGTAAAGAGAACTTTCTACAAACACACAAACAATTTAATTGATAGATAATTTTAATAATTATCCTTACACGTGATGTATAATAAAGACGAAGAATAGGATTGCCTGAAAGATCGATCTTCTTATGACTTTCTGAACCTTTAACTGTCGCTCTAGAATAATTCAAATGATGATTAAAAGACAAAAAACCAAGATATATATATATATATATATATTTACGCATGTAAATGAAGCCAATGACTAGCAACATCAATTGCAGCCCAAAGTTGAAAGAAAAGTGCCCATTTTGGATAGAACATTGCCAAAACAAAGCATAAACACATTGTTGAACATCGATCAACAAGCATATCAAACATTGCTCCAAATTTAGTACCTAAATTTTTATTTATCAAGATTTTATTTTTTTCGATTAATATAAAAACAAAATTTACTTTGTCCAAGTGCACGAGCAGCATGTCCATCAAGTGCATCAAGAAACTCGCTTGTTAAATAACAAAATATTGTTATTTTTGGATGCGATGGCATAAAATAAAATGAAACAATTGATAAAAATACTCGTACATAGCCTAAAAAGAAAAGTAGAACTCTTCATAAGAAAAATCTCATTTAGTATTTTTTTTCTTACCAATAATATTTGGTATAAATAAAAATATATTATTTGTTTTAAGTAAAGCCTCAAATGAATTAATTGTTTGTGTTTCTGCTGCAACTTTTTTTATTGATGGATTAGTATTACTTGCCATTTTTTTGTTTTGTTTATTTTGACAAATATCTGAAATAAAAATACACATCTATGTAGATTATTCATTGATTTATCTCTTCAAATAAATCAATAGATTGATGTTTTAAAACCTAGAAAAAAATAAATAAATGAATTTATTTTGCAAAAACTAAATAATATTTCAATCGTTTTTACTTCATTCCCTATTGATGTAAAATTTGGTAACAAATTTCTAGCATATAATTCTAAACAATGATCTGTTTCATTATTTGGAAAACTAATTAAACTTTGAAATAATAAATGTAATGCAGGTTTTGTTGAATGAATCAATGCAGGGATCTAAAAACAAAAAGAAAAAATCTGCTAGCAAAATCCCTTGAGGAATATAAATGTGAAACACGATTTGGTTGCTATTGCTAATCACAGGGGAACTAGTTCATATGTCATGACGAAACGATCTTTGATTGTATATCAATAACGTTTGCGACGGTCGATGACAGTCTCTGCCGAGCATCTCACCATTGACATTTGGTGGGAAAAAAAAAGGAAAGTGATATTTTTTGCGATTTGAATAATATATAATATAGTTTGACCTATGGCCGACTTTTTATTTAGAAAAAAATTATTCTACCTCTTCAACGGTTTGAATGAATCCTAGACACAAAAAGTTATCAAGTTTCTGTCATCTTAGAAGAAAGTATCTTTTACCAAGAAAAGTACAAAGACTTGCCGGAATAAATCATAGAGCTCTTCCTCTATCGTTTTACATGAATAACTTTGTTTTGGGAAAAGTCTACATGCTTTCTCAACTAACAGTTTTCTATAACATAAATGCTTCCAGACTAAGATACACGTTCTCTAAAAAAATTTAGTTTTTAAAGATTTCCTACCTTTATTTTGTCTCAAAAGTACTTTAAGACACCATATTTGAAAACAACATGGAAAACTGTATGGAATATTATGTCATTTATTAATTTTTAAAATGAAAATTCTTCTGACAAAAGTGAAGGGAAACGTCCAGTCTAGATGTCTGTTGAGTCGAACCGTATCTTTTGTCTTCAGTGGCTATGGTACTCTACACATTTCTCAGACTAGTAGAGTTCATCGAATACGAGTTCGTGACCAATTCGATGGACTCTCACTTATTTTAAATCCAAAATCTTCTTTTGTGAATTTCAATTCTTTTCTTGAGTACTGAAAATTAATATTTCTACGTTAACAATGCATTTTTGACAAAAAAATAAGTCACGTCTACATTCTCTATAAAAATTTTGCATTGTACATCTGTCACAGTCTGTGGAAGGCTCAATTTTTTCCGCTATACTTCAACACTCCCTTTAGATCGTATTTCACAAAGTGAAAAAAATTTCGAAAAAGAAAATGAATTAAAATCAATACACTGCATAGAATTTTGGTTGTATCTTTTAACGACTTAAATTTATCATCATCTCCTGTATAACCAAGTATCAATGTTTCATAAGATTTTTTATCTATTGATGTTAAATCAAGTATTGGTTCACCGGATCGAGTTACCTAAAGAAATATATTATAGATTTGTTGAGTTTTTTTTCTTTCTTTCTTAAACATACTTTTAACCAATACCATGTCGTTAAATATTGACAATTCCATTTATTAAATAAATCATTTTTAATGAATTCTTCAATTCTATCACAATTTGTTGACCAACAACATATTAATGATGATCGTGTACGATCAATTAAATGTTCAATAGGTAAATTTTTAATATCATTAAAATCTGACCAATTATATGGACGTTTTCGTCGTACACTTTTATTTATCCATGGTGGATCAAGTATAATAAATGAATATTTTGTTCCTTCTTTTAAAAGAAAAATATTTGATATTATTGTAGTTAAAAAGAAAGAGAACTATTTTGCTCACCACTTACAAGTAATGTCGAATTTTTTATATCCGACCATAAAAATCGACAATTTTCTGGTAATATAATTTGTCCTGCAAAAGCAGTATCAATTATACTCGGATGATTTTTATTATGAGAATAAAGAATATTTGTTTGTATGCCTAATTTTGATGCACGAAGAAAATAATCTATAAAATTTATTTATTAAAAAAAACTTTTTTTTCGCGGATAAAAATTCTTTACCTGTTAAAACAATTTGTCGAATCGATGAAATATTATCACATTGTTGAGTAGCAACTTCAGCAAACGGTATACTATTAAATGTATGTTCAGTTTGAATTAATGACTCATTATTATTTAATAATAATTTATTTTTACAAAAATTCACTGCTTCATTAAGCTATTTAATGAAAACTATTATCAAGAAACGAAATTTTTTCATTGAGATTAATTTACTTTTAATATTAGATCATTTTGATTTTCATTGAATGCTTCATCATAACTTCGTTTCTAAATAAAAATAAGTTAATTATACTCGAAATGTTTGTATTGCGAATATAAAGAATAAAAGAATCTGTCAGCTATTTATATTCAAATCACATCATTCTTCCGAAATTAAATAATTAGTAAATATGCTATGCAAACAAGTTTTTAGCATAAATGGCATAATTCAAAGAAAAATAAAAGCTTTCTTATCGTTTTCTCTTACGTGAGGAATTCTTATTGATAATTAATTATAAAAATCAGAGAATTCTGGAAAAAAAAAGATTTCCTCAAGCTAATACTTTCTCATGACTCCGACATGAAAGGAAACGAGTGCTGGATAGAGCTCGTTGGTTTGGTCCCAAATTCACATCCGGCACAACAAGTTATATTCTAAAGGTAACAGCCAGTTATGACTTGATTTGTAGTATAAGATCATCGTTAAGATTGTCTGAGAAATGTCTAGGGCATAAGGGTAACAGAATACAAAATAATCAATAAAAAGTCTCTCGCATAATCGGAGAGATCGCGACAAAAATTTTTTAAATTAGAAGTGAAAACTATTTCAATTATAACGAATGAATGAGTAAACATTTCTCTATAAAATGGTATACTAATGATTAGTTTGCTATAAGTCATTTATCAATAGTGAGCATTTCTGATAAGAAAAACTTAGCCAATTTTCTTAATTTCTATGGAAGACAGATTTGAGAAGTGAGCTTGGTCATTCATTCATCAGTTTTTTTTTTCAGAAAAATATATTCTCAGTTGCAAATTTTAATAATCTCATTGTCATTCATGAACATTTTTTCCTTTGCCGCTATTTCTCGCATCAATAAATTCGTAAAGAAAGTTTTAATTAATAGAAACATATGTTTTTACTAGATACAACAACTATTTATCTGAATAGTTTTATAAGTAATGTTCTTTCTCATAGTTGTATAGTATATGAGCGATTGTTCATCATCACTATTATCATTTTTATTTAGATATATTTTAACATCGATGTGGGTGTGGGTATGAATGGGCGTGAGTATTCTTCGTCTCTTTATCTACATTCTCCACAATTAGGGGAGGAGAACAAAGTCAACTCTTTTTAAAATTTATAGCTTCACCTGAAAAATTGATCACCGCAGGATATGTAATAAGCTATTTAATCGAAACATGTTCAGTAAAAAGACACGTGCAGTCGTTATTCAGATGTTGAGCTAGATTTCGCACATAATATTCTGTATAAATAAAATTTAGATATGTTGACAATCAAACCATACTTTTAATATTTTTCTTATTAATATATTACTCTTCACAATATAACCTAATCTAGTTTCTCTTTGAAAAAAAAATGCTTTTCTTTTAAAAATTGCAAATGAAACTATGCTTTTACATCGACGATCTGTTCCTCGAAAGGATTAAATATGTTAGTTATTCGCAACAGACAATTTCCGGAGAGATATGTAGAACGCAAGAAAAATATAGGAAGAGGAAATCACTCTATTTCCCCTTCCTAATTGTAGGTACTGGTACTGACTAAGCGTTACTATCACAATTTAATGTGCTCTATTTGTGGTTAAACTATGAGACTAAACAAAATAAAATTTTAGCTACTTTCTATCTAGTAGTGGAACTTTTCCCGACTACTATATTTATATAATTTATTTAACAAGATTCAAAGCTTGCTGATTTTTCTTTCTGAAATCTGACTGTATCTGCAAATGAGAAATCTTTTATTTGTGCAAACAAATATCATCATACCTTATTTTTTTTCTTCTTCTTTTTCATAGATTCCGTATTTGTCATTCGAAATGGTCGTTCAACATAAAACAGATCTTTTCTCCATGTTAAATTTTTTCTACTATCTTCTGTTGTAATATTTCTCCAATCTTTTGTACTAGCATAAACATGACTCAAAAATACATGTTGATCAAGAATGACAATTTGTCTGTCGTCGTGGCAATGAATCATCGACATTTAAAATTTATCAAATAATCTAAAGAATATGTGACGTGGCAAATTTCAAATTAAAAAAAGAACAAATATGTAGTTGTTTTTTCATCTTAACCATCATCATCATGTTTTTTTTGAAACGAAAAAAAAGAAGATACAAAGAAACCAAAAAAAAAAGAAAAGAACACAGAAATTTGTTGTTGTACATCAAAATGAAGGACAAATGTTTTTTAAACAGTTTATTATTTCCTTCGTTTTGTCTAAATTTTTTTCTTCCAAAGGCATTTATCTTTCAAATAAACACAATGACTAAACAATAAAGAGAAACAATCTAGCAAATTGACAAAAAAAAACAAGAAACAAAGAAAACATATATTCATATATATGTCTAGCTAGAAGATAAAGGGAAAGAACTAAACACACACAGGTTGTTTTTTGTTTTTTTTTCTTCTAATATAAGTAATTGAAATATATGTTCAAGAAAACTAATAAATTCCACTGACTAAATTCAAGATAAAAGTCAGAGAATTGACTTTGACAAAACAAAACAAAAAAAAGATGCGCAACGAGAATAAAGAGAACAAAAGAAACCAGCATATACAAAAAAAAAAGAAGAAAAAGGAAAGCAAAACTGAATGTATTTAGATATTCATTTTTTTCTTGTTCATTTACGTGGTCGTAATTTTCGTAAATATTCTTCACTTGATTCGGGTGTTTTCAATGGTGGCGTTTTTTTATTACCACTTGTTCGTGCTTTTTTAGGTGGTGTTTTAACCATATCACTTTCTTTCGTAGTTGTTGTTTCATTTCCTTTTCGAACATTAACATCCATTTGTTCGTCATCACTTGATGCTGTTGTCGATTTTTTACCTTTTGGTGTTGATTTTTTCTTTTTCGAAGCACTAGGTGGCGGTGGTGATGAAGATGCTTCCCGTTTTTTTCCTGTTTTTGTTGATGTTCTTGGTGTCACACGTGGTGATGGAGCTTTCTTTTTAGTTTTACCACTTTCTGTTTTATTTTGATCTTCTTCCGTATCAGATCCAACCGCTTCATGATCACTTCGATGTTTAACTTCTTCAGTTGGACTACTACCTAGAAGAAAGAAAACATACAAAATTATATAGAAGATTTAAGAAGAGATTCTACTATTGAGTAAAAAGTAGTAATATAAACTTCAATTTTTATTACAGATAGAGTTCAGTAAATCATGATCGCAAGCAGTCACTCGAGCTGAATAGATCTTAATGCAAAGGATCTACGATGAAAATATGGTTCTTTCCCACGAGGACCCAAAAAAAGAAAAAACATTTTTTTGACACTTTTCTGATTTTCTACTATTTACATATGATAACCTCCATTTTACTTATAAATCAACAAAAATTCGGATATCTATATTGTATCACAGATGGGTTACTTCAATTTGCTGTAATTATGAGATGTGAACAAGTTCCCATTGTTTGGGGCGATCTCTCAATACGTATTTCTTCTTCATCGATGACAGTGATCATGAAATTTTGAGAAAGAATTTGATTAGAGTAGAACACTCACTGAAAAAATTCTCAAGACTAATGATTAAAATTAGTCGGAGATATAAGTCACTTTTTGACGATTCCTATTAACTCTCAAGTGAAGATTACTTCATAAGTAGATAAACTAAAAGTGTTCGACATGAAATTTTTATTGGTGATTGAAACAGCACTGAGTTATCGAATGAAGGATCTAACATCTTGAACTTTTTTTTCTATGTTGACTTTCTAGCGTCTCCATATGAAGACCGATTAGTCTTTGTGTTCGGAATTCAACATAGTCTATTTATAATGAAATTTTAAGATCTTAAATGATTAAATTTGAAGTACTTTTTATCTGTTGACGATACTTTTTCTGATTACTGTGTATTGAAAAAATTCTATTACCTGATGTTGAAGTTGGTTGTGTAGCATCTTTTGATGCTGCTTGACGTTTAGTACGTTTTGGTGATGGCGATGATGCTTTTTGACTTGTTGTTGTAGTTTGAATTTCTTCAGTTGTTTGTTTTTCTTCTTCATTTGTTGTTAAAACAGGTTTTTTAGCACGTGTTGAATGACGTGTTGGTGGTGTTTCTACTACAGGTGGTTTAGCTTTACCACGAGAAGACTATTTTATGCAGTAAAAAAAAAAATTTCAATCGAATTAGAAAAAAAAGAAAAAGAAAGAAATGATTACTTTGCTTTTGCGTTCTGGTGTAGCAGAATCAGCTATAGTAGTTGCCTCTGGAGCTGTAACTGATGCAGGAATATCTTCATTTGATGTTGTTGGTGTTGCTTCAACAGGAGGACCACAAGGAGGAGCACTATCAACATTAGTTGTTGATGTCGATGATAAATCTTCTTTAGCAATATCAGCTGATGTTGCTGAAGAAGGTTCAGGTTCACTTGGTGCTGGTACATCCGTTGGTGGTGAAACTGTTGATGTCACATTATCTGTTTGTTCATTTGATGGTTCCGGAATGGGTTCATTTTGACTTGACTTTTCAGTTGGTTCAGATGTTCCTGATGCTGAAACAGGTTCTTCAACTGATTTAGCATCATCTTTAGTTGTTGTATCATCTGTTGATGGAGGTTCATCAACAGTTGTTTTTTCTTTTTGCCCATTAACATGTAGATCCTCTACATTACTTGTACCAGTAGTTTCTTGAACAGATTCTGTAGTAGTACCTGAACCTTCATGATCACTAGTTTTCTTATCTATTGTATCATTTTGTCCATTAACAACAGGTTGTGGTAGTGTTTCTAATTTATCAGCTACTTCAACATCATTATTTGGTTGTTGTTGAATTTTAGTTTGTGATACAGCACTACCAAAAACTGGTGTTGATGATGATGGTTCAAAATTGTCGACGGATTGTATCGACATTAGACTATTGTTTTAATTAAATTTAGTTAAATGAGAAATCTAAAATAACCACAAAGTTCATTGAGTACATGGAAAGACTTCGTTGGCATCAATAATGGAAGAAAATAATAGGATTATTTTTGAGAATAGTTTTTAGCAAATAGGAATGAAAAAAAAATTGTTTTTTAATTAAAAATATCAATAAAAAAAAGTTAGTTTAGTTTTTTTTAGTTTCAGTAATCTTTGTTTGTTGCCTATGAACAATCTTTCTGTCTTGTATTTTCTTTATTGATTACTGACTCTTGTCTTTGTTCAATTTAAAGTGCATAAGTATGTTAAGTATAAAAAAAAGAAAAAAAACTAATAAAAACAATTAAAAACATCTTTGTCTTCTTTTTATGTGGAAAATTACTAAATTATATATAAAAAAATTTCGATTAACATTTTGATGTCAAATATGTCAAAAGACAAAAGACGAATGAAAGAAAAATATCCTCGAAGTAAAAATACAATTGAAGAAAAATGGCTGTAATTATAAACAACGCTATTCTTTATATATATATATATATTAATGATTCGTCGATTCAATGAGTCATAGAATCTGTCTTTTCTTTTCTATGGATGCTGCAGAAAATAACACGATCAATAACAAGGACTAAAAATATCGTTGAGGAACTAAGTCAATCGATTGGAATATTTGACACATTAATGCAAACTATATTGATGTTATTGAATACTTAGTAAAGAGAGAGAAAAAGAAATATTTGTTTTTTTAATTTCATATTTCTAATAAATAATGTTTAGCAAGAAATATTATTAAAAAAGAAACCAGCAAAAGATTTTGTCGCTAGTATCTATGTTATTTGGATATATACTAGTGACAATGTAATTTGTTAGGTTTTAAAAAATTTCATCTACGAGAGAATTATGAATTGTATGTATAGATAATAGTGGTGTGAGAGATTTTATTATGACATGAGTAAAAATTAAATATCCAGGAAATGTTTGCGTCATCTAGTTGATATTATAGATGAATATAATAAACTTCAAGAGAATTTTTTTAGTCTACTAATGAAAACATTATTCGAAGTAAAGGCATTGATACGTACTTAATATTGTTATTCTAATGATTCTTAATATACACTCCACGATTGTAGAATATATAAAGATATATAAATGATGAAGCGTTTATATCATGAAAGCGCACAATTAATTAACTATAAAAAACTTTCACAATGTGCATGGTTCTTGTATGAACAGCTGAAGTATGTTTTAGTAATATATGGATATCTTTGAAAATATCCTTGTTAGAGACTATCTGTTTCTTTTGTGTCAATCAATCAAAGTGCATAAACGCGTTGAGTATACAGCACGGCAAAGAGAAAAATGCGTCAATTAGGTTTTACTTAATGTATTCTATGAATACAGTTCTTGATATGAAGAATCAAGAATTTTAAAAACATATATATATTTCAAAGTAAGGGCTATTTAGTATGTATTTTATTTGTTTTACTTAACTCGAATGAATAGATTTAACAAGAAAAAGAAATCGATCATCATTAATTAGTAAATTAATCGATCACTTTTGTTTTTTCTCATCGATATTTTTCTTTTTTCTCTGTTCGATGAATCATATAATGCCTATTGATTATGTTCGTTTTATTTTCTCTTTTTTTTGTGTAAATAAAATTTGCTAATGTCTATTACGACGAATAATATATCGGTTGAAGATCTCGATGAATTCGATCGACAAAAAAAACAAGAAGAAATGATTCGTCAATATTTACAAGTTACAAATATTGATGCAAATTCTTTACCTATAAAACATTCGGCATCAGAGTCTGATTCTTCAGCAGTATTTACAACAAGTAAAGCAGAATTGAAAACAAAGTCATAATTGAATATAATTTTTTTTATTGGACTTATCTATAGCTCTATTACCATTATCATCACTTAATCTTAATGAACTTCGAAAAGATTTAAAATTGGCTGAAGAACGTGTTGAACGTTTACGCCAAGAATTAAAAGATATACAAAGAAAACGTGATGAATCTTTTGTAACATCATCACCACCACCATATGTAGTACTATCAAAAAATAAGACTAATACAGATTTTGTAAATCCTAATCTTTCAACATCTATCAATAGAGGAATTATAGATAAAACATCATCACCACTTCTACAAGAAGTAAAATATTTCATGTAAATTTTTTCTATTAAATACCTTGTTGTTTTTAAAGTACTTATCGTCTCAAGAACAACAAAGCCCAAGGCAACTGATTAATGGGGCAATTTCATCGTCATTACTATTACCTAGTTATAATTCTGCTAATCATTTATCAACAAATCCAGGTGAGGTAAGCGCTGCTTTTGGTTCTGGGCATTCTTGATTTTATTGTTTCTCAAATGATTTAATTATCAATATATTTGTTTATTATGCAGTTGATATATCTAAAGATCATCGACAACAGCAATTTCTTTTAACCATGCGTCAACATCGTGAACAACTTCTTGTCTATATTGATTCATTAAAACAAGCACTTAGTTCACTTGATCGATTAGCTTCATTCGAACCAACACGTAGTGAAATTCATCTTGCTAATATGAAGTAATTAATTAATAAATTTTATTTGAAATCCATTTCGTTTTTGTTTTCTTAAAAGACTTGATACAATTCAACAAAAAAGTCGACAACTTCGTGCTTTAAAATCAAATCGTTCATCTCAACAATCTCCATTTATTGAATGTCGTATACGTCAATTAGAACATGACATAGTTTATATGTTAAGTGAACATCAAAAAGATGTACAAGCTAAACTTGAATTAAATGAACAACGAAGTCTTATGTTACTTAAAATAATGCAAGTAACAGATGAATTAGCTGCTGTTGATCAACAAATACAACAGTAAAATGAAAAGATTTCATTTTGTTTTTGTTTTGTCTTCTAAAATTAATATTAAATTTAGATTATTATCGAATATAACATCAAATACTGGCATACATCGAACTAATCCATCTCTATCATCTAATGAAATAAATCAACAACAATCATTACGAGTAATTAATTCAATAAATAACCTTGATGGAAGACGTGTTTCATTTCGAGAACAAACTGACAATAATAATCCCTTGACAAAATTAACTAATGGATATTATCTTCATCATCATTAAATAGAATAGAATCTCTCATTAATATTTTACATCTAATCAGTCTGATATTCGAACAGTACATAAACCAAATAGAAAAACAAAAACAACAAGTTAAACGCGAATCTCTTTTTATCTTTGCAATATATTAGTTTATATATATATAAATATATGCATAGTCTTTTTTTCACGTGTGCTTTTTATTTTTAATAAAATACTGATTAATGCGTGATCTCTCAAGAGATTTTCTATGGAAATGAATGATGATGTGATGACGACATGAAGAAAAAAAGATGATAGGAATGGGAAAAAAAAAGGTCTACACACACATACATATATATACACAGCTCAATTACAGAGGAAGAAAAATGGGAATAAGATCGAAAGAAAAAAAGCAAGAACAGAGAATGTACGCCATTTGTTTTCTTCATAATGCATTAGGATTTGGGAAAGAAGATGAAGACATATAAAGTAAAAAAAAAGAGAGAAAAGGACAGTAGACTAAATGAGACACAAAAAATAGCAGTTCATTGTTACACGTACAGTACGGTAATCTCCGGTCAAATAATTAGATGAACGACGACAACGTCTACTCAGTAGGAGGTAGATAGGTAGGTTAAATATTTCTTTTTTTTTTTCAATTGATTTCAACCGAGAGTTCATGTATAAAAAAAGACAATAGGTAGAAGAAAAAGCTTACGCAATAAAGAATCACGTAAGTAAATAGAAATATTGTATTGATACATTATTTTTATCAGATAATAGCGATAACTTTAAACAATAATTGCCAATGGGAATTAAAAACATTGATTTTGTTTTCCTTCTTGTCAGGACTTGATTATTTTTGAAGAACAGATGAATAATAGTTGCTTTATTATAAATAATCTGATTACATATGTACGTGACGAACATTCATTTTTTCTTTATTCATTTGAAGTTGTAATAAAATGCGAAAGTCTGCAACAACTATTCTTCCACGTTCAACGTCAACTCATTTAACTCCTATTCAACGAAAAAATTCTTCTTCTTGTTCTTCAACAACTGCAACATCAACAGCAACACAATTTCCACATAGTACAAGTCATCATAATTGTCCAAAATTTAATTCAAATAATATAAATACAAACATTCGTTCTCGATCAATTTGTAGTCGCTCAAATTTTTTTACAAGTCCAACAACACATGAATTATCTCGCTTCGAACCTATACTTAATCATGACACAGATTCATTAAAAATTGGTGACCGAATATATGTTAATGGTCAATGGTCAGGTATTATATTATATATTGGTGAAACAACATTAGGTACTGGTGATTGGGCTGGTGTTATACTTGATGATCCATCGTTAGGTAAAACAAATGGTATTGTCCGTGGTAGGTGCTATTTTCAAACAACAAATAATCGTGGAATATTTTGTCGTTTAACTAAGCTTACTCGAGAAAAAATTTTATCTTGTGAAATAAAACAAAAATGAGAAAACAAAAAACAAAAATGTAAATATATAAATACTAAAATCCTACATATATAATAAATAAGATAAACAAAAAGAAAACAACAAAAAAAAACAATGAAAAAGTCATTCTCTTTACATAATTGAACAACGTAAATTATTATTATTTTTATGTAATTTTCTTTTTAATTTACTTTTATTTTCATGTTTATGATTACCAAAACGTGTAAATAAACGTGAAAGATCACTTAATATTGAAGAATTATTTGTCGCTTGTTTATAATCAGATAAATAATCTGTCATTATTGCTTGATTATTAAGATAATCTTTCTCCTCTGGTAATGGTATATGTACATCAATATCAGATGCATAAATATTTTCTTTAACTAATGATTTTTCATATTCATTATTGTTATTATTATTATTATTATTATTATTATTTGTAATTCTACTTGGTTGAAATGTTGTTGGAAATGGATTTGTTAAACCACAATGTAACCAATTAAACATTGATGATGGGCGTGTTTGACGTACTTCATTATCAATATCACTTATTGGTTTACAAAAACTAAAACTACGTATTTGTTCGTCTTTTTTTATTGAACGAAGATTAACATCACAAATTTTTCGAATTGGTATTGCATATTCAGGTTTTGTTTCTGTGTGATTTTTTTCATTAGGTGATATCTGAGATGAAAGTTTAGGACTATTTTGTGATGTAGAAATTGATAATATTGGATTTTCATATGTTTTTTCATTGATTTGTTTTAATGTTGATGACTAAAACGAAAAGAATAAAAATTAATATGAATTAGAGAATTGTACAGGTACAACTTTTTATACTCGTACCCAGATTGAAGACTGAAAATTCGGTAGAAACTCTGAAAATTTACTTAGAAAGTGTTTTCATCTTTGAAGTGCTAGAAGTGATGATAGAAGAAGCGGGACGACGTGACCCAGTCCTTCCTACAATAGACGACCTACCATAATGTCATCCCTCCCTTAGGACTTGTCCTGTAATCGAATTCACTTCTCAATGACATTGTGTGATTATCTTTATTCCAATTTCTACTAGAGAAAGGCAAATGCTGTTTCAAAATTCAATTTCTTTTCAAAGCTACCAAGGAGCTATAAAAACTTGACAGACAGTTGGACATCTTGAGAAAACAAGGAAATCCCCTTATCGAGAGCCCTGTACAAACACCCGCACCTCGATAAGGGTACCCGATCCACGATTTGCTTTACTCTAATAAGAATATCATATGACTTTATAATATCGGCGATGCCAGAATCTTTGATTAGCAGAGCTGAAGGGCTTAGCCTTCTCCTCTTTTCACCTTCTGTGATGACACTACTAATTAATAAATAACTTACAACATTTGTTGCATTGTGTTTTTTATCTACACTTTTATCATCTATTGATGGTGATGAATTAGTTTTTTTTTCTTTTCTAATTAGTGATGGTTTAACATAGACTAATTCTTGATTTGGATTATTTGAACGTAATTTACGAAATTCTCGTTCTAATTCTTCAGTAACTGAAGATTTTTCTGGTTTATTCATTGTTAATATTGGTGATGATGGTTTTCTATTTAAAAATTTTTCAGTTGATTGTAAAGAATTTGGTAGTGATTTAATAGGAATATTTAATGATTGTAAACCATTTGTTTTAAGAGTTTTTATTAAATTTCGAATTTCTAAACGTTCAAGTGATGTAAAACTTGAATGACTATGACTGCGAGATCTTGGTGCTGATAAATGACGTGTTGAATCAGAACAAAGACTATCACGACTTAAATCTCGATGATGAGGACTAAAATAAATTTTTTAATATAATTAAAAAATTAAGATTAAAACAAAACAAAACAAAACACAACATACGTTAATGATGTACTTCGACTTGATGTTCGACGAAGTTGTCGAAAATTTTCCATAGCAGCATTAAGTAATGGATCATGACGTAATGAACCATTTAAAACTTTTTGTAATGATGAATGACTACTACAAGCACTTGAAGATGACGACGACGATGATGATGATAATAATGATAGTTGTTTAGTAGAATTAATTTGAGTAGATTGATTTTTACTTTTAATAGAACTTTTTATATCTTCTTTATATATTGGATTATGAATAATTGGCATTTCATCTAATGTTGTTATACGTACAAGATCATTTTTAGATGTTTGTTTTTGTTTTGGTGATGATGATAAATGTCTTTTATGTAATTCTTTACTTTGTTTTAGTAAATGTGGATTATAATAATGATTTTCATTAGTTAAAGGTATTTCTTTTCCATAATTCATATTTAAATTTGATTGATAGAAATGATTCATTGCATGCCATGAATGTGCTTTAAGTAAATTTGTTGAATTTGTTTCAAAATCCGAAACAGATTTTGTTTTTGATGTTGGATATTGATGATTTGCTATGGAATAACGTTGAGAATGTAATGATGTATCAATAGAACGATGACGATTCATATGACTTGTAGATTGTTTTAAATGATTGTAACGTGTATTAGAATATGATGAAAATGGTTGTGATGGTTTTGAAGGCGGATTATGATGTGGTTGATGAGGTAGAATAAATGGTAATGGATAAGATATAGGTGGATGTGCTTGATATGATGAAGAAAAATATTGTTGAGAATGAGTTGGATATTGAAAAGGATTTGAAGACCATGGAAAAGAAAATCGAAGACGAGGTGAATCCATATAAAATGGATAAGATATTGGTTGTTGCAGTGTTAAATTCATATTTATGATTAACTAAATATGAATTTATTTGTTGCTTTTTTTTGTCTCGATTTTTGATTATTTGATAGAAATGATTCTTACCGATGATGGGCTTTATTTTCCAAAAAAACAAAAAAAAAGAGATTTAATATTCAATAGTTTATTATTAGTTTTTTGGTCACATCACGCTATTGAGTCAAGGTAAACTATGTTTTTTTTTTCTATTCTATTCTACTCTTCCCTATAAAGTAAGATATCGACACGGTTAAAGCTCAGTAAGTAGAGAATATATATATATATGCACCTTCAAAGGTCATATTCTCATCGTGTCCGAATGTTCAGCGAACCGAAACCGTGGCAACAATGAGAACAATAGACAATAAGAATGAATGAATTCATACATATAGATAAGTGATGTGTAGCTATATGTATTTATATACATATATTCGTTATATCTGATACTCTCTTAAGAGAATATAACATAGAAAAAAAAGACGAAGAAAGTGAGTGTGCGTGCTCCTGTTCAATGTCTTCTTCATAGACATATATATATCCTATCGACATTGTCATTTTTAACGAAAGCATTTGGTCAAAGTCATTTTGGATTAATGATGATTAATGTGTAGACAAAGAAATAAATGCAAAAAAAAATCTCATATGAAATGTTCATCGATTTACAATCAGTTCAACTTATCGGATAATTTTCGACAAAACTAAGTCTTATTTGTAGAAGTTAAATTGTTATCTCATGAAAATGAATTTTGTTTTGTTTTTTAAAATTTTATTAATTATGTTTGAAGAGAATAAATAATTTATGGTTCAGTATTGCTTCATT